CGGCTGTTTGCCCCCCCCCCCCCCCCCACCCCCCATGTGTTACCTGCTAGGACAGGTGAGGTTGTATGCCATGGTGTAGTGTACATGTTGTAAAGTAGATCGATACAAGCTGGCGTATGTCAAAACGGTCACGCACCCGAACGCCGCCCACGTGTCAAGGAATGATTGTTGACGTTTTCATTGTTAGAAACTCATTTCAAGTAATGAGCTCCTCTGTGACGTCACACAACATTTCTCACGCTATTATTTGTTGGTTAATTGTTGGTTTTTTTGGTTTTTGTTGTTTTGTTGTTGGTTTTTTTTTGTTGGTTTTTTTGCGCTACTCTAGATTTTCCCAATCCAAGACACACTTTATATGTAAAATAATTTTTTACATGATCAAGCGTTGAATAGATGAATTCATTTGAATGTTGTTTCTTGGAGTATTTGAAGTGCAAGGCGGGGCTGATCGGTGCGATGGCCCGTGGACCGGTACCGGCCCATGAGCCTTCATGAAAGGGTTGCCAGACTGTGAAAACGTATGCATAGATCGAACACTGAAATCAATGAATAACGTGGAGTCCAGTCCCAGGTGCGATCTATAGTCTATACAATTTCTTCCGATGTGTGAGAAGCGCCGTTGAATGTGAAGCACCGGTGTATGAGAAGCAAGGAACACCGGTGAATGGGAAGCAAGAAGCACCAGTGTATGAGGCGCAAGAAGCACCTATGTATGAGAAGCAAAAAGCACCGGTGTATGAGAAGCACCGGTGTATGAGAAGCACCGGTGTATGAGAAGCACAGGTGTATGAGAAACAAGAAGCACCGGTGTATGAGAAGCACCGGTGTATGAGAAGCAAGAAGCTCCGGTGTAAGAGAAGCACAGTTGTAAGGGAAGCCCAGGTGTATGAGTCATGTTTAACTTGCATGTAATGAACACACAAACATGCGATTCAGATTAGTTATATATTATTTACCCCCCCTCCACCCCCTTTAAACCGGTTGCTGATAACTTTTTTAACAAAAACATATTTTTCATTCCATTTAATGTGACCAAGTAGTGAGACACAGTACGAGTATTTCTAGTTAAAAATGCAGAGTTGATGTAAGCCACACCTAGTAACCTATTAGTATAATATTTATTGATTACCATCCATTAATTCTTGATGTGAACGCGAAATTCTCGATTCCATTAGTGTCTCCCTAATTGTTTACAAAAGCAAATATATATATGATCAGTGTTTCTTCAGATTTTCGGGGGGGTGGGGGGTGGGGGGGGGGTGGCGCCCTTTAGTTTTTTCGGGGGGGGGAACTTGGCTTTCCCGTTTTGCCCCCCCCCCCCCCCCGAGATATAGCTGAAAGAAACCCTGTTAATGATGTCCGTGATAACTTATAGAAATATAACTGCACGACGTCATTATACAATCTTTAGAATTATTGAGCCAAAGAACGTATTCTTCTTCTTCCAATTACAGGGGAGTAAAACCAAACCATGACACATATGGATTAGATTATCTCGAACGATTAAGCAACTGTGTAGTAGGTCTATCAAGCTGTGTAGATCTACTATAAAACTGTGCAGTAGTAGCTGTATCAAACTGTGTGGTAGGTCTGTCGAGCTGTCCCGTGGGTCAATCAATCTTTGGAGCAGGTCTATCAAGATGTATAGTAGGTCTGTCAAGCTGTGTAGTAGGTCTATCAAGCTGTGTAGTAGGTCTGTCACTTCCAAGTTTTCCCTCAGGATGGCTTGCGCTAGACTGGGAGAAACTCACACCACTTTGCTCGAGGTGGTGTGCACGTGATCTGCCTCTTCGCGGCGTGGAAGACTAGTATAGGGCGTGCTCCCTGAAGCCAAAAGATCACATGTCCCTATCGAAAGACCCAATGAGCTAGGGGGGGGGGTAACGCAAAGCCCCCCTCCACTGGGAGGAAGATATTTTGCTCAAACCCAATACTCTCTTGCAAAACGCATGACTTCTAACGCAACGGAAGTATGCGCTAACATGATTACGTGTTGCCGGTAATGGGTATGAGGTAGTGGGTCCTAAACCCTTGCCAGTGATTAAAAAGACGTGGCCCTGAGAAAGCCACCCCTAGGCGACCGTTTCGTCCCGACATGTCCAGTCCGAACAGCTCCCAGAGCGGTGGGTCGAGGCAACGCAACGCCTCCCCCGGAGAGGAAGTTAAAGCCGTTCTGTCCGGTCCGAACAGCTCCCGGAAAAACGCGGGTTTGAGGCAACGAAACGCCTCCCCGGAGGGAAACAACTCGTTGGGAACCCCCAAAACTTGGCTCAGGACTCCCGGGATGGTGGGAGTTAGTAAGCCAGCAACTACTCCCGGAGAGGAGGCAAAGCCGTCCCGCACCAAGGAAAACGTACAGCTCCCGGGCGGTGGAGGTGGTAACGCAACGCCATCTCCGGAGCGGAGGCGAAGCTGTCCCACACCAAGGGGAAAACGGACAGCTCCCGGGCGGTGGAGGTGGCAACGCAACGCCACCTCCGGAGAGGAAGTAAAGCTGTTCCAAACCCCTCATTTTGCTCAAGGCCGAGTTGCATGGCCGGAGTCCCCAGGGACTACTAGGCTATGTTTCACGGCCAAGGTCCTAAGAGATAGGCTCTCGACCTCCGAGTATTGATCTTTATAAGTAGGTCTGTCAAGCTGTGTAGAAGGTCTGTCAAGCTGTGTAGTAAGTCTATCAACATTTAGGTCTGCAAGACGTAGGGGTGTTGAATCGGTCTTCGTTCTTGCAAAGTTATTATTTTACTTTTTTTTTTAATTGTTCGAAATAGTGAAATAAGGCGTAAACCAATTTATTTTTTTTAAATGATCCATCGGCTTCATAGTGTGCCTCACTACTCTTCTGCACAGACTTTCTTTGGCTTCATAGAGTGCCTCACTACTCTTCTGTACAGACTTTCTTGGGCTTCATAGAGTGCCTCACTACTCTTCTGTACAGACTTTCTTGGGCTTCATAGAGTGCCTCACTACTCTTCTGTACAGACTTTCTTGGGCTTCATAGAGTGCCTCACTACTCTTCTGCACAGACTTTCTTTGGCTTCATAGTGTGCCTCACTACTCTTCTGCACAGACTTTCTTTGGCTTCATAGAATGCCTCACTACTCTTCTGCACAGACTTTCTTTGGCTTCATAGTGTGCCTCACTACTCTTCTGCACAGACTTTCTTGGGCTTCATTGAGTGCCTTACTGCCCTTCTGTAAAGAGTTTCTATGGCTTCATAGTGTGCCTCACTACTCTTCTGCACAGACTTTCTTTGGCTTCATAGAATGCCTCACTACTCTTCTGCACAGACTTTCTTTGGCTTCATAGTGTGCCTCACTACTCTTCTGCACAGACTTTCTTGGGCTTCATTGAGTGCCTTACTGCCCTTCTGTAAAGAGTTTCTATGGCTTCATAGTGTGCCTCACTACTCTTCTGCACAGACTTTCTTGGGCTTCATTGAGTGCCTTACTGCCCTTCTGTAAAGAGTTTCTATGGCTTCATAGTGTGCCTCACTACTCTTCTGCACAGACTTTCTTTGGCTTCATAGAGTGCCTCACTACTCTTCTGAGCAGACTTTCTTAGGCTACATAGAGTGCCTCACTACTCTTCTGAGCAGACTTTCTTGGGCTACATAGAGTGCCTCACTACTCTTCTGAGCAGACTTTCTTAGGCTACATAGAGTACCTCACTACTCTTCTGAGCAGACTTTCTTGGGCTACATAGAGTGCCTCACTACTCTTCTGAGCAGACTTTCTTTGGCTACATAGAGTGCCTCACTACTCTTCTGAGCAGACTTTCTTAGGCTACATAGAGTGCCTCACTACTCTTCTGCACAGACTTTCTTGGGCTACATAGAGTGCCTCACTACTCTTCTGCACAGACTTTCTTAGGCTACATAGAGTGCCTCACTACTCTTCTGTACAGACTTTCTTAGGCTACATAGAGTGCCTCACTACTCTTCTGCACAGACTTTCTTGGGCTACATAGAGTGCCTCACTACTCTTCTGCACAGACTTTCTTAGGCTACATAGAGTGCCTCACTACTCTTCTGTACAGACTTTCTTAGGCTTCATAGTGTGCCTCACTACTCTTCTGCACAGACTTTCTTTGGCT